CCTGAAATGAACCTCTCCCCCCTCCCTTCCCCCCCCCCCCCCCCCCAATGGCATCACTTCCTGGTTCTGACACTGCAGCACCTAGGGTTGCCAGATGGTTTCAACAAAAATACCGGACACACCTGACATTACATCACAATCTACATTACATCTTATTTAGAAAATACCGGACATTTCTATTCTCTCATTTATATTTTCTCCCAAACAGAAAGCTAAAATACTGGACTGTCCAGTTCAAAACCGGACACCTGGCAACCCTAGCAGCACCCTCAAATTCCATTGTTTAAAAGGACAGCCGAAAGAATGCAGACCTACATGATCTTCCTTTCCGACAGGATTCTAATAGGGTGGAGGCCTCACATACCCTTAGAAGCTTTGCTTTTTAGTGAGCTAACAAAATACTGGACAATTTGTTAACAATAGGTGAGAGGTAAAATCATCATTCACTAACATACTGGAACATAAAATACATGTTTATTCTAAATATGGAAATATGCTGCTTTGTTTCAGGGTTTCAGGTGCTGTCCTGTGGTAGCCATGGGTAAATGCTTACTTTTCAGTGGCACCTTTGTAGACTTCTGAATTTTCTTTAACATTATTTTATACTGAATTTCACCTTTAATGTAGTAACTTGCCCCTCAGAACTCAATCATTTCTGTCTGCCTTTGCTATAAAGTCACAATCCTACATTTGTGATCACAGTAACAATCCAGTGTTTGTATTAAGAGTTCATTGTCTCATCTGATAGAGAAAGGAGATCAACTATGGAAAAGCCTGCCACCTCTATTTCATTTATGGGTAGTTTCCATAGTTTTCTCTAAAGAAGTAAAGGAAAGATTATTTGGGTAGCAGAAAGCTAATAAACTTTCCTTTCTATGCCTGGCACAATTATCATTTGCTTTAACTATGAGTACATTGTTGCACTGTAACATTTATTCTAAAATTGTTATCTATCAACCCTCCTGAGTACAAATATTAATATGTAGTAGGATATTTGCAAATATATTAGCAGTTTCCTTTGCTATGTGGAATAAAAAGACAGTAATTTCCCATATGAAAACAACTTAAAATTGTTTTATATGACAACATACTAGAAATTGTAACCTAATATGAATGCTTAAATCTTCTAGTAATATAGATAAGCATAATCACCAATAAAGAATTCCTAAGTAGACACACAGAGAGTGCCGGGCTGCACTGCATTATATTTGCAAAAAGTGTTCTTCATCGGAGTAGCAATAGGATTCTGTAAGGTAGCATTAAATGTTCTCTTCAGAACAGTGTCCTTAAATAGTGGACTTAGCTGTGAAAACATAAATACATGAATTTCAGTCAGATCAACAGTAAGCATAAAGAAGCATAATTCTACAATAATCTTTCTCACATACTACCTAGGAAAGAAAGATTCTGCTTTCCACAAGAGAAAGCTTCCTCTGATATGGATTATCCAAAGCTTCTGTATAGAAAAGCACTCACCATTGTCAACTACAGCTAAGAATACCTTATTACTCTGTCCCCCTTTGGATTATCGAGATGTAAATAGTGCTGGAAGATGCAGATGATCAGTAACATTAGACAATGAGGGAAGTAATTTATATGCCTACATTTGGATGTAGGAACTTAAGTTTACGAATCTTTAAAAAAATCGAGGGGCACTGTGATGGAAGTTTTAGTACATGAGTGAAGGGAAGGATGAAAGAACAGGAAACAACAGGGAAAGGAATGCTGTGTTGGGAGATGATTATTTTCCAAGATAACATTTACGTTTGAATTTCAGATGTTGTTTAGCATTTACTCATTCTTTAACTGTATTTATTTGCTGAGTATGTCATGATCACCCACAGGGGCAGGAGCAGAGAGAGCCAGCACAGAGATTAACAAATTTAAAGTAAATGTTCTTTCATAGGCTTAGATTACAAAAGTAAAATCATTCTGGAGATTGTGAACACATAAGTCTGATAGGAAGTCTAACTGCTTTCTAGTAGCTGGATGTCCAGGCTATTGGCATAATACAGAATTGAGTTATGGACTGGATCCATGAACATTACACACCCTCCGCTTTGAAAGGTTCCCTTTTCATTATGATCCTCCCCTTGGAAGCTTACAGCTGAATCCAGTCCATCAACAGCGCCTGACACCTTGGTCAGAGAGAGCTGTTGGAAAGTGATTATGTGAGGTCCTCTTACATTCTTAAGCCCTGGGACCTCAAGACAACCTTGTGAACTGAACTCAGGTCAATAGGCTGTATGGCAATTTAGATTGCTAGGTGGCCCATTCAAGACCAATCACCTTAACTGATTTCCATCTCTGTTCAATATACCTCTATGCAGCCAGCTCAGCAACCAAAGGAATTAGATGAACCTTACCTTCAGAAAACAGAACAGATTTTACTGAAACAACCCCTAACTTTACAGAGCAAACAAGAAGAGCCTCTTTAGAGCAATCTGTAGCAGATTCTTCTAAATGTATGTGAAGCATCTCCTCAGCCAGGACAAAGGAAACAAAACTATATACAGTATTATGACAAGGGTGAAAAGAGCATTGTTATCAAAGTATCTAATCTAACAGCATGAGTCAGATGTTACCAAAAGAATACAGACACTTACCTTATTTAAGCTAAAGTTTATACACAGCTTAATTAAAAATGGAAATTTCCCTACTTACAAAGTATGAACTTTTAAAGCATATTTCAATTTCCATGACAACTCAGTCCTTAGCATACTGAAGAGAGTATCAATAAAAGTGCCCATTATGGTAGTTTTTGCTAAATGAACACCTGTCCATTGACAACTGGGACTGAGTTCAGAAACTCATTTTAGAGCTGGTGACCTGGAGGTAAAAGGCCCTAGCTCACATTACCAGTCCTTTGATTCATCCTTCCTCCAAAAATAGCCAGTTCTAATCTCTAATTTTTAGTAAGACTTAATCTCTGAATATATGTAACAAAACTAGCCTTCAATGATCAACTGCTATATATTTACTTACATTACACATTGTTTGACTTTTATCACAGATTTATCACACAAAAATATTCTAAGAAATCTTGGATGACTGCTACATTAAGCATTAAAAGAATACAGTGTTGGCACAAAAGCATTTAGAAGGAAAAAGATCACGCTTAAGAAGTTTTCCTTTAATCCAGAAAACATGTCTGCCATAAGTAAAATATTTAAAAACCCAATATGGATTATATTTTTAAATTCCCAAAGACAAAAGATGGAAAACATTCCTCTGAATATGAGAGAGAGATTTGGTTAATATTTTTCAGCCTCTGATCAAAGAACAGTACCGTATTTTGTTGGAAAAGTGACAGTGGTTTCTTTTAGCATTTCTCAGTCCTGCTGACAGAAAAAAAGAACAAATTCTGATCTCTTTCTTTGACTACTTTTAATATATCTTGCTTTAACTCTCCAGCCATCATTAAAAATCATACCATTTTGTCATTTTTCAAGCCTGGTTTTTTGCAAGCAGTTTCTCAGCCTTTCTGTCCTTCACACTGAAATGTCTGTCTGCAATCACACACTCATTCTTAAGACACAAAGAAGAAAGTCACAACACTGCTGCTTTTTTCCCCTACCCATTACTGGCAGAAAAGTACAAATATATCCTGTAGTAGTAACAATTGCTTATAATGTTCTCTCCCTCTTTGCCTCTAGCAATAACTAAAGGTTGTTCATATGAGCTCCTGAGTTCCCACCAAACCTTTACTGTGGTGTGCAGGTGGTTAGTGTAATGACCTTTCTGCTGACATAAGATTTTCTAGGTCCTTATTCAATGCATTTTTATTTTGCTACCCTCTGTTTATTGCAGGTCACAGATACAAACCAAGGAAAGAAACAACAGATATTATACATCAGATCAAAACACTGCAAACAGAGTACATATATAACACAAATAAATAATATATTACAGGGGGTCAGGTTTTTATATGTTTTACTGTACACTCATCTCAGATGCACTATAAAGTTGAAGTTGATCGCCTCCATAATCCAAGACATGTTTATTATATGACACTGTCATCATGGCATCAGGAAATGATAATTGAGCTTCAGAAAATGATTATTGGCAGGTTATTTTAGTATTCTGGCTAATTAACTAAGACCCTGCGAATTTTACTTGGCTAATTAATTCCTCAGCACAAAGTAAACATTATATTATAACCTCAGATTTTCTATGTTGTAGCTACATAATTTACAATCTTCATCAGCCAGTGAGATGGTTTCTTTACACCAAACCATAAAAGGAGTATATAAATTAAATGAAAAGTGGACATCCTAATGACTTTATTAGGGGATGGAGCTAGTCAGAACTCAGTTCAACAGAATTCATACAAGTATTTTTCATCACAAAGGTAGTCAGGGCAACTGGTGAGGAAGGACACAAGGGGAAGGTCACGTGACCACCCCACCACGTGACTCTCGCCTGCACCACCACTAGCTTGGAAGGATGGGACATTGCTCCAGACCCCAAACCCCATGCCATCCCCATCTCCTTCTATCCATGTTCTGGCCTTGCCCCTTCTCCCAAGTTCTGCCCCCACCATGAGCATGAGCTTGGCACCAGAAGGCATGAGCAGGAGCTTGGCACCAGAAGTAGGAGACAGGCTTCCCTGCCCTCACTGGCAGCAGCAGGGGGAAAGTGGAGCAATGCAGTGATACCTCACTCTGTTCTCCCAACTCCTGTCTGAATCACACTGCTCCCTGCCAGTGAGTGTGGTGGACGTTTGCACTCCTCCCCCAAGTGACATGGCCATGAACTGGGGGAAAGGAGCTAGATTGCTCTGCTTCCCCCCACCACTGCTAGTGAGTACAGAGGGACCTGATCACTGCTGCAAGCATCAGACTCCCCCACTGAACCCCCACTAATCCCTCAGGCCAGCCACAGGCTCAGCCCCCTTGCCTCTCCCACCGACGCTGTTTGGGGGAGTCACATGGCTCCTCACCCCATCTACATGTGTCACCCCCTGTGGGTAGTCCTTTTGAACTATATCTTCAGTCCATCAGAGCCTACAACCTAGAGTACTAAAGGAGCTGACTGGGGAGAATATCTGAACCATTAGTGATTATCTCTGAAAACTCATGAAAGATGGGAGAAATTCCAGAGACCTGGAAAAGGACAAACATGGCGCCAATTAGGAATATAACAGTTTTCAAGTACGTCAAAGATTGTTACAAGAAAGAAGTGAAAAATTGTTCTTGTTAAAGTCTAAGGAAAGGACAACAAGCCATGGGCTTAAATGCAGCAAGAGAGGTTTATGTTGGACATAAGGAAAAACTTATTCACTGTAAGGGTAATTAAGCCCTGGAATAGATTGCCTATGGATATTTTGAAAGCGAGGGGGAGAGATAGATATGCTGCAGGGCAGGGACAGGGTCCAGAGTGACTTAGACAGATTAGAGGATTGGGCCAAAAGAAATCTGATGAGGTTCAACAAGGACAAGTGCAGAATTCTGCACTTGGGACGGAAGAATCCCAAGCATTGTTAAAGGCTGGGGACCAACTGGCTAAGTAGCAGTTCTGCAGAAAAGGACTTGGGAATTACAGTGGATGAGAAGCTGGATATGAGTCAACAATGTGCCTTTGTAGCCAAGAAGGCTAATGGCATATTAGGTTGCATTAGGAGGAGTATTACCAGCAGATCTAGAGAAGTGATTATTCCCCTTTATTCAGTTCTGGTGAGGCTACATCTGGAGTATTGTGTTCAGTTCTGGGCCCCCAACTACAGAAAGGATGGGGACGCATTGGAGAGGGTCCAGTGGAGAGTGACCAAAATGATTAGGGGTCATGACCTATGAAGAGAGGCTGAGGGATTTGGGTTTATTTAGTCTGCAGAAGAGAAGAGTGAGAGGGGATTTGATAGCAGCCTTCAGCTTCCTGAAGGAAGGTTCCAAAGATGATAGAGAAAGGCTGTTCACAGTAGTGACGGATGGCAAACCAAGGGGCAATGGTCTCAAGTTAAAGTGGGGGAGGTCTAGGTTGGATATTAGGAAAAACTATTTCACTAGGAGGGTGGTGAAGCACTGGAATGGGTTACCTAGGAAGGTGGTGGACTCTCCATCCCTAGAGCTTTTTAAGTCTTGGCTTGACAAAGCCCTGGTTGGGATGATTTAATTGGGATTGGTCCTGCCTTGGGCAGGGGGCTGGACTTTATGACCTCCTGAGGTCTCTTTCAGCTCTATGATTCTATGACTATGAAATCTCTCACTGGAGATTTTTAATAACAGGTTAGACAAACAGCAGTCAGGAATGGTCTAGATATTTAGCAGCCCTACAGGGGTACAGGGGACTGGACTATATGACCTT